CCCTCCACCCACCCACCCATCCATCCATCCATCCATCCATCCATCCATCCATCCATCCATCCATCCATCCATCCATCCACCCACCCACCTTTACCCCATCCAAAGGACCCAAGGCAGCATACGCCATTAAAAGACATTTCCAGCTAAAAACAGTAAGTAGACAAACAAGCAAATACCACACCAAAAGTAGTAAACGAAATCAACACCAAGTACAAAGCAACAAGGCACGAGCCTCTTTTTAAAAACTCCTCTCAGGCGGCCCGTCCCTAAAGGAAAGTCGGCCGAAGGGGAAGGTCTTTGAAGAGAGACAACTAAGGGGGCCCCAGGGCATCCGGAGGACCCTGGGCAGGGAAAGGCTGGAGCTTCTTCCCAAACAGTGGATCCCGCCCGGAGTGAGGGCAAAGCCAGCCAACCCATCAGAATCCCACCCTCTCTAAAAGGGACGTCGGTTGACGTACACGGAGGCGTCGTTCATGAGAGGTGAAATCAGCCTTGCTTTCGAATCAGCCCATGGGTTGGGGATGTCTGGCGATCCCTTGAACTCAGTTACCTTCTCCTTGCTGTCGATGACGTAGACGCCTTCCAAACTGATGGCCACCGTCACCGCTTTGCGCCCGCCCCGATGCAGCAAGCCCTGGGCCGGCTTGTCTATTTCCCCAGAGAAGAAGGCGCAGCTGGAGGAAGCAGAGAAAAAGAGGTCACCGTACAGGCCCGGCGCCTATACTGCAACATGAAACATAGAAAGAACCTCCCCCCAGGATCATTAGACGCTGTCTAGGGGGGTGGGGTATAAATCGAATGAATAAAATAAAAATAAATAAATAAATGAACATGTGGGCTGGGTTCAAAGCACGGGGTCTCTGCCACAACCTGATCAAGTCAGTTCCACGACTCCGTTCTGCAGCTGTTAAAGCAAAAGTCCAGCCCTGGGGGGGTGGATGGGCAGGGAAGTATGAATATATTCTCCTTTTTTTTGGGGGGGGTTAGCTACCCAAGAAATCTGGGGTCTTCCATATTCATTTTGCAGGTTTCATTTATTTTGCAAGACATTCTAGTTTCCCATTCTCCTTCATGTCTACAAATCCACCAAACCTATTCATTCATTCATTCATTCATTCATTCATTCATTCATTCTCTCACTGATGGCTAGAATCCTCTCGGTCTCTGTGTAGCTTGCCATGCCTGATTGCCAAAAGGGGCCCCCAGCACCTCCAAAAAAAAAACAAACAAACAAAAAACAAGCTATGCTAATGGTGTGTGAAACTGCACAGGATTTTACCTTCAAGCAGTGCACAGGAAGAGGATTAGCTCCTTCTTAGGACTACATCTCCCAGGATCCCCCTCTGGCCAAGGTTATTCTGAGAGGTATTCTGTAGTTAAGCCCCAGCTCCCTTTCTGATCCTGCACCAGCTGCAGCTTCCACATTGAGCCCAAGACTAGTTTTGTCTTAAGGCCCTGCTAGTAACAGTTCTATTTGTTGTTGTTTATTCATTCAGTCGTGTCCGACTCTTCATGACCCCTATGGACCAGAGCACGCCAGGCCCTCTTGTCTTCCACGGCCTCCCAGATTTGAGTCAGATTCATGGATTCATGTTGGTCGCTTCGGTGACCCTGTCCAGCCATCTCGTCAACTGTTCCATACCTACCCGTAATAAGGCAACTCGTGGCACTTCTGCAGGTAGGTGTGATACAGCTTGCACAAGGCAGCGTGCTCCTCACAAGCCGCATCATCTTCCTCCTTGGATACCGAGTGGTAGGCACGCAGCAGCCCTTGCTCGGCGGCAGGGGGCCGGGTGGCCCCACGTCTCCACAGAGCGGCGAGAAGCCCATGTCCTCTTTGGCAAAGATGGGAGGGCAGGAAGGTGTCCAGCTTCTCTCTGGAATGAGGGAGAGATCCACTCAGCCCGGAAAGGCAGAAAGGAACAAATACTGGCTCCTTTGTGTGGCCCCCCCCCACTTGAAAAGAATCTCAATTGCACGGGGTACCCATTCACAACCAAACATTGATCACTCCACTCGTAGCCCTTTAATGTGGAATCCCTTCTGTGGCAAAGATTCACACACTTACCGTATTTTTCTGAGTATAAGACTACACTTTTGTCTAAAATCTTTAGACTAAAAATTGAGGGTCGTCTTATACATGGAGGTAAGCTGAGGAGAGAACAAAAACAAGTGGAGGGGAAAGCAGGGATCAAAGCAATCCTGCAGCACTTTGATCCCTTTCCCCCTACACTTGCTAAGCCCCACTTAGATTTCTTAATTTTGGGTTAGAAAAGTGTGGGGGTGTCTTATAAATGTGAGCGCCTGTTCCTGCTGAAGATCAAACTATACAGGATACACAACCCTTCGTGAGAACTAGCAGCCTCCTAGCGCCACATGAATCAGGCAGTCTTTTGGGCCTGAGAAATCAGACTTCCAAATTAGAAAATGGTGAAACAAGAGAAAAGCCTCTCCTGATCTTAACAACGGGGCAGGCTCATAACAGGAGATGCAATTTTTTTGTTCTCCATCTTCCCAAATTTATAAGATTACAGTGGTGCCCCGCATAGCGACGTTAATCTGTTCGGGATTAATCGTCGCTATCCGGAATCATCGCTAAACGGAACTAAAAGCCCCATAGGAACGCATTAAACTTTGTTTAATGCGTTCCTATGGGGCCCAAACTCACCGTTCAGCGAAGATCCTCCATAGCGCCGCCATTTTCGCCGCCTCGGTAAGC